TTATGCGAATAAAGGCAAAATTGTGGCGCGCACTTTTGGTGCTGAGTTGACGGCAAACTCACTCAAGTGTAGTGAAGAAACGAGAGTGAAAGGATAACACGACTGCATATAAATAGTATGCCCCCCTCATACTATGTATGTATAGGTGTACGCATCTAAGCATGCTTTCACGTGCTTTTGCTAAGTGGAGCATTGCAAATTTGTGTGTGAAAACAGGGATGCACCGCACGTGCGAACGAACGAGGTGACAACCAACCAAACAATGATGAAGCATTAATGCAACAGATCACAAGAAATTGTTGCAAATGTGTGCATAAAGTACACATACATGTACGAGCAGGTGAATAATGGGTTGTCGATTGAGTGGGAGACTCTCAGCAAAAAATAAAAACAAATATCAGACCTAAACAAACCTATATAAATTGCCATATAATCGACAGTGTAAAACAAAGCAATACAGTATCTAATCATGCGTTTACTTGTATAGACACACATACATACATACATACATATGTGTAAACTTTAGCCGTAGTAGGCAGTCAATCAAAGTGTGCGCCCAACAGCTCAATGGGCGTGACGCAATGAGGTGTAACGGAAGCGTGTGTGTGTTCGGCGTCGATAGAATAATGAGTTAACAGAAACGTGTGGCGGATAGCACGTGCTCATGCAAAAACATACAGTCTTCCATAAGTATATGTACATACATACTATGTACTTTGTACATACTGTTATGAATCTTTAGCTATTTATGTACTCGTATATGTGCGCTTCGACTGGATTTTTGTTTATACATATACATTCGCATATGAACAGACACATATACACACACTTATGAACATGTTAAATTATATATACGTGTATATTATCTCTTAAATAAACAACCATATAATTGCATAGACGTACCGGCAAATGACTACACACTTACATATCAATTTGCATGCTAAATTAAGCTTCAAGTGTTGCTAATGGTCTTAAACGTGTTGTGTTGTGTTAAGTGGAGTGAAAAAAATTAAAACAGCAGGTGGTTATAATGAGTGAAAGTCATGCATTAATGAATAGAGAAGAAGGATGAAGGAGTGGGTAATAAAAATTAATAAATACACAAATACATACACAAATATTTAAGCTATAAAATGTGAAGGAGCGCTTAATAAGCTATTCATTAAAATTACTATGTATGAATATAAATTTATGTGCTAATAAATTTTATATAAAACTTACATTCATCTAAGCATATGATTAATAATCTAGGAAGGTACATACGAAACGTATTTGAAGAAACGATATTTTTTTTCTAAAAAAATTTTCAATTATTCTGTCCTCTTTAAAACCAGTTCATTATAGCATCTTTTCAATCATTTGAAAGATTTTGGTATGCACTTTTTCGTACGTTTCCGAGATCGTTCGCATTTTATCTTGTCAATCAACGTAAAACACCGTATCTTCAAATCTTTGCAGTACTGTATTGAAACCAGAAAATTCTTGGGGAAAAACTCTAATGAATCTGAGGGCATTTCCATTCATTTACTGACCAAATATTTTTTCTTTTATAACAATCACGTATTCAGGTTCATTGCTGTCCATTATGCTATAAAAAAGCTCCTGCAAGGGTGATACCTCCAGCGGCTAGTGGCCTTTAATTAAATGTAATTATTCATAATTATTTTTCATACAGCTATATAAATAAAATCTCCTGTAGTTTCGGAGCTATTCAGTATTCCATCTGCTACAGAAGTACTGATGTAATGCTTTTATTTTAAACCATCGGTTAAGGTTATGATCATCATTTCATCATTTAAAGGTCTATCGCTTGCTAAGTGAGCTTGGATGACAGCTGACTTATTTAAGGCTGGATTCAGAACTCGAAAGTTAATACAGTTCATACATGGTTGCCTGCTACCAAGAAGCAAATTGAATTCCTTTCCTAAACTAACATTTTGTTACTATTTTGCTAAAATAAGATATAAACCAGTAAAATTATGATTGCTACAGACAACTCATGTGAGGTGTTTAAGGCGCATTAAAGTTTCAGATTTGATTCAAGCTCATTAAGACCAGAAAATTTGCGGAAAGTCTTCATAAAACAAAAAAACTTGAATCTTCATCAATACTTATTTTGTCGCCTTCAAAATATGCTCCTTCTAAAGCGCTACGATATTCAGTTCCCTCTGCGAATTTTCTTTCAGGGTCTCAATCGATTCGAAACGAATTCTACGGAGTGGTAACTTAAATACATCTATACGAAAGGCGGCTAATAATGTAGAGATCTATTAACATTTCATTCCTCCTGGAACAAACAGCAACACTATGTGACCGAAAACTGGAAACTATCACAATTAAACTCCTTGTAAATAAGTGAGTACCTCAAAAGCATTTTTTAAGAGATGTAATCGGTTCTTTGATCTTTCATATACGATACCGAAAAAAAGGGCTCCGCTGTTTTAACAACGAACAGAGACCTATGAAGAAGACCTCCCCCGGTGGCACCCAGTGACGGTAGTGGCTGAGGAAAATTAATACTGGCTGAACGAAGAATTAACTTGTGTCAGTTAGCAGAAAAACTGCAGATTAGCATAGAATAAGCAAGAGAGATTTCACATGAACATTTGAATAAGTAAAAATGTATTGCGAGATTTATACCGCGAATGCTCACGTCACTCAACAAATAGCGATAATTGAAGAATTGGAAAGATTCTTCGGAGTTGTGAAAAGATGATTTGGATGAAATTTGCAACCGTATTGTAACGGCTGACCAAATTTGAATTCATCACTATGAGTATGAGATCGATGCAGTGGATAAAAAAAGGGTAAAAGCCACCAAAAAATTCAAAGTGAAAAGTCGGCGTCGTAGATTATGGCTACTATTTTCTGGGATAGTGAGTGAAAATAGTTAATTGATTTTTTGCCAATGAGAATTACAAGGAATGGCCAGTAATAAACGGTTGTACAGAAGAAACGTAGCAAGTATGTGCTGATTCTTTAAGACACCGCTCAAGTTGCGAGGGATACCTTAAAAGCTACTGCATTTACAGAAATTGCCATCCTTCCTACAGTTTGGACCTGGCTCACAGTGACTTTTTCCTTTTCCAAACTTTAAGAAAGAATTATGGGCCGACGGTTGTGAGATGGTTTTGGTTTTGGGACCTTTTTCGGTTCTTTTTTAATGCTGTATGAACCGTAAGATGAGATTGATCCTATATCAGTGCATAGTTCATCTATGATAATTAATTCGAAGCTCCTCCTTGCTGACCATGAAAAACTAGATATCAAATTTTTGCATCGTTGCAACTGACTCCGGAAAGTGTAGAATTTCTACTAATGTAAACTAAAAGCCACTTATTTACTGAACTTCATTAAATTATTGGAGATTTTTAAGTTGCCAAATTACGATCTTGAGTCAAATGTTCTTATCCCTACTTCTCCAACAAATCCAAAGCCGCCACATTTTACTGCATTTTTAATTTAAATCTTTTTATTTTGGTCTACAAATTTCAAGTTCAATACAAAATTATATTAATTTTCATTATTCTGTTGATCCTTTTTTTCAATTTCCTTTCTTCTGGCATTTGTTAATGACAATTATTTAGTAATTTTTAGCTAATTCGTTGCTCAAATGTGCTCAATTAGCTAATTGTGTGCTCTGTATGAACAGCATTTTTACAAAACTACGAAACTAAAGGTTATCAGAGATGAAATTTATTGTAACTATATTTTGTTTATTTCTGAATACTGAGTGATTAAAAATAGCAAATTTTGCTGATAAATCTATGTGGGCGTAGACAATGCAATAATACACTTTGAAGTTAAAAATATTTAATTAAATCATCAAATCTTCGACTAATCCAATTTTAATAAATTTTTTGGCTGCCTGTTTTTTATATTAATTTTATAAATTTTTGCCTTCAAAATGAAATATAAATTATTTTAATTATTAAAATAAAATAAAAATTATCTGTTATTAACCTTTACACCTTTTAATTTAATTGCAGGCACTAAAAGAGCATTCACTTCTTCCTCAATCAAAACTACTTAAGGTTCAACAAATTTTTTTAAATTGTGAAAAAGGCGAAGAAACTGCTATCTTAATAAAAAAAAAATGGCTGGTTAATAATGTGTTAACTAGAGTATAATGGAACAAGAAAGAAAGCTAAGTGAAAATCAACAAAATTACGCAACTTTTCAGATTATCCCAACAGAGTTGCTCATTATTAAGAGCATAAAACATAACAACAAACACACGGGCTGTATGGCCAATTAGCTTTATTTTGCTTATTCTTCCCTTCAAAAAAAGGTGTACTATTTTGTGCCAAGGAAAAGTTAATTAATACACATACATACATACGTGTTTATGTGTTTGCTTTGTGTGCTATGTATGTATATGTATGTATTGGTATGCTAAAATAATATTGCCACATGCTAAGGTGTTTACTGGAGAATTGTAAAAAAAGTAATTAATGCAAAAAACTGCAACATTTTCAAGGGTCATCACGAGTTCTGCGTCGAGCGTCAACAGAGAACGCCTTCAAAAAAATTTCCATGCCCATGTATATGAGCAGCAAGCAAACAAATAAAAAACCACTCCTCGGCATTGCAAAACAGTGTAATATGAAAACCAATTGAAAAGTTTTGTATACAAAAAAAAAAAAAATACAAAAAAGATGAAATAAAAGTGAATGATTAAAAAAAAATGTAGTGTAAAAAATAACGATAATATCAGTGACGCATTTACATACAAATATATACGCCATTTACATGTATTTTTTTTCGCCAACAACTTTGTGTTCAACGTCAGCAACAGCAAAAAGAGAGCATAACAACACATAAGCATCCTCACGCTCATCGTCATCGTCGTCTTCACTGAACGGCTAGACACACCTGCCAAAGTTCATATCCCGGTGCACTCGAGTGTATGTATATACTCGTAAGTGTGTGTGTGTATGAGTTTTAAGCAAGGCGCCTGTGTATGTATATTGTCAGCTACGTATATATACATGTGTCGTTGTTGTTGTTGTTGTTGTTGCATTTTACGAGTATATGTAGCGTGTGCAAGTGCAGCAGTGCAGTGAATGTGCATTCAAAATGCTTAACGGATTAAGAGTTTTTACATTTTTATGGCTGGCGCATGCGGCGAACACTTGGCTGAATTTCACCGTCGTTCAAGCACAACCGTCATCATTAACCGAGAAAATCCCATTAGGTGAGTCGCTTGAGTGTACACGTTGCGCTTTTCACTAAATATAAATGTGTATGTTTGTATTTATGTTTATGGTAATTTTTTTAATTTTTTTTTTTTTTTTTTTTTTTGATTTTGCGAAAATGTCTCTCAAAATAATATTGACAGTAGGAAGAAAACTGAGCTGTAATTTCATGTCAGAAATGCATTCGGAGGGCTTGTCATTCCCTGCTAAGGAGCGACCGCGACCATGACTCGTAACCCAGCGGCATTTCAGGAATATCCAAATACTTTCAGAAAACTTTCAATTATTTTCAGAATTAATAATTTTTTTTTTTTGAAAAACTTCGTTAGAAATACTAATTTTCTATTTTTATTTCCAAAAATCACACAAACGTTTTAGAATTAAGTTTTTTTTTTATTGTATTTTATTGAAAGAATAGTACAGGGCTATCCATTTTGCAGTTTCGAATAAATGCAAGTAAAATGCATTAAACATCATTTTTTAATGCAATTTTTTTTTTTTATAATTTATATATACTGAACTCGAATAATATATATCAATTGACTGTCCCGCGAGTTTTTGCAATTTTCGGTCCGTTTGAAATAATTTCCGACCACTTTTTGGCATATATTTCGCCGAGAGTTTACTTGGCCGAGAAATTTCTCTTACAATAAAGGCATATTTGCTCGTATTGTATAGCATGTGTCATCATCATGTTGAAACCATAAATTGCCCAAGTCAAGCTCTTCAATCTCATGCCAAAAAAGTCGGTCATCGTCTGACCACACCTAAACCCTTCAACTAGTACAAATTTACGCAAAACAAACAGCAAATTTGGCGTTACACATAAACCTCAGTGAGATATGTATATACGCATTCCAAAATGTTTGGATAAAATTTATACATAAAAGCAAATTTATTTATCAATAAAATGCAATCCAATTTTTTTTTTTTCAAATAAAAGGTTCTTATTTACCACAGAATTATTTAATAATTTCTAATCGCCATGTTCCCATTGGAAAAAATTGGAACAATCGATTTAAAGGCTTCTCCTGAGTTCACTTCTTCAGCAACCAAGTCATTCACCATAGGACAGTCAATTGGGGCGAAATTCACACCATAAGGTGTATGAGAAAAAAACCTTCTAAACCAAACACTATTTTTTAGTTAAAGTTGGGCATTTTTGGACGATTCTTCCGTTGATACCATACAATTGCTGACAGTACCGGTGCGAGTTAAGAGTATGGCCTTAGGGAAACAGCCCTTAGCGGACGATTTCTTGCCAATCGCACTATACATGCAACAAAATATTGAACACGATCATTTTCGTTTTACCTTCCTGACATTTATTCGCTTTTTAATCATTTCATTCATTTTAATTGATTCACTTGTTATCACCAGTCAGCATCCGCTTCAAAAATCGGTCGATTTCGTTACGACTCAGCAGCGACTCGCAGATGGAAGTTTGGATTGTAACGTTTTTTCTAGTTGACTCAGCTCATTTCAAGTAGTTTTAAGCTGATTTTTGTCCAAGACTTAACTGCTGAACAATCAAGACAGTGCTATTATGGCGGCCGAATTTTACAATTTCTATAACTTTATCGACTTTTTGGACAATTGGCCTTCCATACCATGGATCATATTTTACATCAAAATTCCCCCAACGAAATCGGCAAAACCAAAATTGTGCATAACTGATTGTCATAGTGATAAAACCATAAACACTATTCACATTTTCAGCTGACTGGTATGCGTTTTCGCCTTTATCAGAGGGGAATTATTGATGAAAGCGAATTTTCTCTTTGTTGGTGTCCACCTTTGATACACCCTTAAACACTACTGAGTAAATTGATTAACACTTCTGCCACAATCTTTTTTAGTATTGAATATTAGCTTTCTAACTTCATCCAGCTTAATCCAATCGCACTTATATACCGCTTGATACAGATCCCTAAGCTCATCTATTGTAAAAATAATGGGTTACTTTTTACTAGCCCACCATTTTAATTGTTTTACAATACTTTACTCCTGGCAAATACTTCTAGAAGTAGTAGTAGGGTGAAACAATTTGTTTCAAATTAAAAAAAAAAAAAAATATTGCAAGTTTGAAATATTTTTTTTTATTCAATTTTATTTGACATTTTTCAATGCACATATACTTATTTCACGGATGTAGATATTGAAAGTGCATCAGCAAAAAAAAAACAAGAAAAAAACAAATAAACCTATATATATTTTATATATGTGTACAAGTATGTCACAATGCACTTATTCACAGTTCCACAATGTCGGCCAACACATATTCTTTGACAAACTGAACACATAAGAGCCACCGCCTTTTGCTGTCCACAACCCACTCTCTGACACCTTTGTGCACTCTGCTTGTACAATATACTTTTAGGAGTATATTTAATTTTACAGCCATTTGTACATATGTACGTATGCCATATACGTAAACAGTTGGCTTTTGTTTGCCAACACGTCTGCAACGAATTTCCATGCCACCACCGCAGTGATGGTCTTTGGAGCAGCAACGACACTGCAGCATCTAGCATAGAATGAGCACAACAACCTCCAAAGTGGCATTAAAAATCTCTAGCGTTTTTACTTACCTTTCAGCTGCACTCGCTGCCTGTTGGCTGCTGCTGCTGACTGCTGGCTGCTGGCTAACCAGTCTGGTGTGTTGTTGCTGTTGTGTTGCTGGTGAAAAGCTTTCCCATAACAATTGTAGTATTAACACTTCTTTATGCAAACGACATTAGCTGCAAAAATGATAGCCTTGGTGGGGAATGCGGCGCGGGGCATTCACTGCAAAAGCTGACATCACTTCGCTCAGGTCGCTGCTTTTCGGTTGAGGTGTGTTAGTTGGCATCACAGGACGGTTTGCTTTTCTAGCGCGCTCACCGTCATTTTCGTCGTTGTCGTCGCTTTGTGTGTGTGTGCGGCTCATTGTCTGCTGTGGTGTTGGTGGTCGCATTACCAGTGCTGCCACTTAATTCACAAAAGGCGGTAGTTGCGCTTTAGTGCTTAGAGCAATACAAATTTCTATGTGCATATGTACAAACAGTGTATAAAAGGCGTGCGCATGCATGAGCAACCGGCATGGTGGTGCTCTTTTGGCCGTTGGTAATTTAGGTCGTAAAAATCAGCACAAAAGCGCATTTTAGTAGCTTTCCGGTTGTGCCATTTATTTCTATAGGAAATACTTTGTGAAAATAGGAAATGACGCATTCTAGACAAGAATGTTTTGTTTACCGCTGTGAATAAGAATACATACTTGAGAGTATATACATTTCTAAACAGGTTAATATGGGTTCATATAAGCATATATTTGTAACTAAACTTAACCTCAATTTTTCCCATTGGATAACAGTCATTCAGAATAATATTAGGAATTTAAAAATTTTTAATAAAAGTGAAGGGTGAAAGAGAACGTAAGTATGCAATATAAGTTTATCAAGTATATTTATATGTCGCCAGGAATGGAGATTTGTCGTCAACAGTTGTGGGCATATTTCTACTGGCATGAACCACAAAATAGCAGCACAATAAAGTATACTATAAGAGACCAACTAACCGGTCTCATATGTGAAAGAAACTACTCACGTACCTGCCATCTCAATTCTGCTATTGTTTCGATTGCTGTGTGCCACGCGGAGCCACCATATTGAGAGCACAATTCAGCTTGGTCCAGCTCTCTCATTTTGGGCAAGAAAAAAGTTAATAATCACCGATCGCCGCTCTCGCCATTAATAGAATAGCTCCGAACTTCATTGTCTCTGAAAAAGAACGGCCGTCATCATTGCGTCGGAATATAATTCATAATAAACAGTATTTTTTCCAAATATTTTAGTAGTTCATGCTATGATTCTGGTTGATCTTCCCAGAAATTACTGCAATTTCAGTTTTTCATGATTCCATTTAAGGCAAAAAAATAATTTGGGCACTGCACACAATGTTTCGCTAAAAAGCTTGTTCTTCATCCAACTTTGCCAGCGCCCAGTCATAAATAGTTTGCCATTGTGGGGGGTCTGTCGCGTAGTAAACGTGGTCCAATTGCTCTGAGCTGCGCCCAAAAGTCCGAATAGTTTAAAGCCGCAACGGGGTCATAATTACCACGACTTCTTTGTTTTGCTAACTCTAAACATTGGTTTGATTGCCGGGTGGGGGTTATTAGGATTCTCAGTGGTATCACAATGGTCCTGTTTGGCGGTCTAAGTGACCTGAGGGTCAGCATGCACTTCAACGAACCATTCTAGGTTTCCAAAAGTAGTTTGCAAGCAGAGTCAGTCTCCAATCTTCTTGAAAGCATTTGAATTTGAATTCCACTGGAAAATCATACGAGAATCAGTAACCAATCTTTTGCAACAAATTTTCCAGACTTCTTTTATTTGCACAGCTGCTTTGTTGAGATTTTTGAAATTAATTAATATTAATTCTATTAAACAATATATGTAAAATAATACAATAAAAAGTGTTTCAGTAAAGAATTGGTGTTCGACTTTCATTGACTCGTAAAAGGGCTTTGGCAAAAATATCGTTCCTTTTATAAATATTTTATTTCTTGTCCTTCGAATCCTTTGAATAAGTTACTTTGTATCATTTCATCACGTTTTCTGTACAAAAATTCCGGTTTCGCACTTACACACTTGGTAGCTTGTAAATGTATTAATTGACCTTATATCCCCGATGACTTCTAAAGCCATTGTTAAGGTATTCCTCATCACGCCTGCTAAATCAAGTAGATGGATACACTGTATCTATTCCAAAGGTTTCATGCAGCAATTCTTCTTTATTGTCTAGGCACTTTTTATTACGGCTCTACAGACACTTGTGTCAAGCCAAAGAGCACCATATGGGGTCATAGGTCCCAGGTTTTTACAATAGCTCTTCTGCGGGAACTCCAGATGCGGGGCGCTTAACTGATCTTAGTTCCGACATTGAGCATAGTTTTTTTTTATTAAAACTGACACCGAGATACTAAATAGATTTGAAGGGAGCTAAAATGTTAAGCACCAACCCTCAATCATTCAAATTGATAGCCCCAGCACAAAATGAAAAAAAAAAATAAATAAGAAGTTAAACTTCTTTCAAAAAATAGATAAAATATGTTTGAGAATTGTATTGTTAAAAAAGAGCATTAAAAAAATTCAAAAATTTGGCCCCTCATTGTACAAACGAACCCATACGAAGTCTTGGGTACCAGCATTTGCATTTCAGTGCATTTAAATAGTGTAAAGCATTACGCCTAATATGGGAAAATGCGCACTGCATTTACCTACGTAGCACGCGGCAGACGGTATTGTTCTACTGCAAGTTGCAGAAAAGCTGCACATGTGAGTATGCAGTTGACGTGACCTTTCTGAGGAGACATAAATGCAATATAAGAATACATACATATGTACTGAAACTTTGCTAATGAAGCTATTAGTTGTGAACCAGATGCCAGTTAAAACTTTAACAGCAACTATTTATTTCCAATTTGTTCTCCTCTCTTGGCGGTGCTGCTAGAAATTTTTGTAAAAATTTTATTTACCAGACTGTGGACCAGTACCTTACTAGTTAAATACCAGTTAACTTGCGCTTAGTAAGTTTTTATTTCTCAGATTTCATACACAATTGTAGTTGAAACGCAGCTGCCGGTTTGTTCACTTTCCTGTTAAACATATTTAAAAAAAACGAGCGAAGAGTATAAGTTGTATTTGGACATCTGTCAAAGTTAGCTGTCAAGCCAAACATGTTTGGTTTTAGCTAAAAGTCAAGCACTTATGAAAATGGATAGTTTGATAACCGCACAATACTTAAAATCCGTAAAAATTATTATACTTTCCGCCTTCTAAGTGGAGATTTCTTGAACTCTTAAAGAAATTTGAAGAGACCGAATCGGTTACGCTACTGCAAATGAAAATGTAGCCGAAGCCCCAAATGTGTATATTTCTCGACGTTCCCAAAGAGCTGTGACTTTCATGAAGCACAATATGGTATTTTCTGTACTAAAAACTTACAGACCGGTACGCTTTGTGGTCCGATATGATATGATTGGATTTTACCACTTTGAAAACGATAGCGGCGATACCGTCACTGATAGTTTGGAGCGTTATGGTCGTATGAGAACCGACATTGTTTGCCCTGTGATTGAAGAACACGACTTGGACAATACGTGATTTTAACAAGCTGGTGCCTGTTGTTACACAATACGAGCAAACATTACTTTGCGGAGAGCTAAATTTTTCCGCCGCGTTATTCTCGCCTTGGCGAAGTCAATAGGCCACCGAGATCGTGCGATTAAGCTCCATAGGATATTTCTTTTTTTCTTCTGTGTAGTTGCGGTAAAGGCTGGTCATGCCAGTATAAGTCAGAAAGTGAAAGAAAGCCCCCTCAAATGGATCGAAGTTTCCGAAAATTCTTTAGGCAACTACTTGAATGATGTATTGCTTCATCTATATAGCGATATCTCAAAGTTTATAACAAAAAAAAAACATTAACAGGAAAAAAATTATTTTTAATCCATTTTATAACTGCTTACCGCTAAATGGATAACCCTGTATAACCTCCACCGCGTCTATCAAACCACTTCAACTCTTCGCCGTACATTTTGTCGCGCATTTAATTCTGAGAAATGAGTTTTGCTCCCACTTTGCTTTCATATCTATTTACTTTTAACTCATTATGGAAGATATTGTTTTGTTTACTCTTTCTTTGTCATCCTTCCGTTTATATTTTAAAAGAATTTTATTATTTTCATTTCTTGCTTTTCTTACTTCCCCGTCGAATACAAATGGCACACATTTCATTGTTTTTGCTCGTGAATAATGTTTGTGTTGTTGTTTGTATTGTTATTGTTGTTGCTGTTGTTGTTTGAGTAGCGTTATCGGCCGACAAATGCTGCCACCATTGCTTGCGGAAGCTGCCATTCACAGCCACCGACTGACTGTAAACGCGGCAGGAAGATTTCACTAAATTGTTTTGCTGTTTTGTTAGCGTTGCTTTCGCTGTCACAAACTCTTTTCCAGCCACAACAGGCGTTGCCACTGTCATGCTGTCGCACACTAGCGAACGCCATGAATGCGTGCGTGTATGCATGTGTGCGTGTGTATGATATAAATTTATGTGTAGCTCATTTGTTACAACGCAACTTGGCTGCTGTTGGCATTAAATTAGGGTTTTTGTTATATGAAAATTCTTTAAAATACCACAAAATGTGGCAAATGTATTTTATGATAACGCATATTAAAAACTAACGATTAATTCTCATTCCTTAAACTTGTTGATAACAATTTCTCGTTGAAAATGTAAATTTCGTAATGTTTAGTCGTTTTTGAGCGCTTTTGTTGTTTGTACATATTTAAAAAAAAAATATGTTTAGAAAATATTTTAGTGACGCAAAAGGTTCCAAAATTTCATGAACCTTCCATTTATATATAAAGTGAAACGCAGTAGCGAACAGGGACCAGCTTAGATTATAGCTTTTATAATTTTATATTCATAAATAAGTTTTTAAGGACCGTAAAAAATCTGAAAATTCATTAGAGTTTAAAAAATGGCATCTCTTGGAACTATGTGATTAACAGGCTTTGCCAGTGAGAATCAAATCTATTCCTTTTGAGCTTACTCAATAGTTCATGCTCTCAAATATAGAATTTAATGGCGGCAAAGTCATATCTTGAGCATGTTTTGAATGGCAGCGTTCCAAACAGTGACCGCTAGCAAGTATAGCAAGAGAGTTGAGATTTTTGACGCATTTTACTTTAACGACATCTTCTAAAATTGGTGATATCATAACTAATCTAATCCGACCTTAAACTCAAACTGAAAATATTTGAATATAATTATTTACTGTATGATATTTTTGATCGGTTGAAAACAGTAATTTGGCATTTAATCCAAACACGGACAGTTTTTTCAGATTTTTTTTTTTTTAAGTTTTAATTTTTTTCAAAAACTCTAGGTCACTGTTTCGGAAATGACTTCAACTTTAATAAATTTTTTGATTTTTTTTCAGCTACTCATTCGACAGGAATGTGATATTTTGTCCAAGAAAACAATCTTAAAATTAATTGAAAACTCAATGAGTACAGAAAACTTCAAAACATAACATTTTGTTTCAAAAAAATTACGCTGCTATATCCCCTTATAAAAATTTTTTTTAATTTACTTAAAATGGTTTACTCCGTTCTTCTTCTTCTACTTTATTGGCATTGGCACCGCATAAGCGTTTGTAGTCGAACAATATTAGCGCGCCATTCAACCCTTCTTTTCGCTGTTTGGCGCCAATTGGAGATATCAAATGAAACCAGGCACTCTCCAATTGATCCCTCTGAGGGAGTGGAGCTCCTTCTCTGATTCGGTGCCGCATCAAGGCTGACATTATTATTGATTTCAAGACTGGTTTCTATATAAAAAAAATGATCTACGACTTCAAAGTTATCACTGTCACTTGGGAGCGGAGTTCACCTTCTCTATTCAGCTCTGCATTTCATATTATTTTCTTCAGCGATAAATTAAAAAAGTCACACGATAAAAAATCGCATGATCTGAAACCTCGCTTGGTATCGAACGGTTCGAAGAGGTCCTTCCTGATTCTGACGGAGCTTCTAGTGTTGCTTAAGGTCAGTCTACACATACGTATAAGTTTTGCGGGGATACCGCGCCTTTTTATGCTGTCAAAAGCAGCCTTAAAATAGACGAAGAGTTGGTGTGTGTTGATCCTCTTTCCACGGGTTTTCTCCAAGATTTGGTGTATTTTGCAAATCTGTTCTGACCAACCAGGTGTAAAGCCACACAGATTATGTCCAAACCCTTTGTCGACGGTGGGCTTCAGTCCTTCATACAATACGCTTGATAGGACCTTGTACATATTGTTAAGAAGCCTTATTTCACGGTAATTAGCGCCGATCATATTTTGCAAAGAAGCAGATCTTCGACGCTATATTTGAATAGCTCAGTTGGTAGTCCATCAGTGCCCGCCGCTGTTTTATAAGCATGTGATGGCTATTCGAACATCATCAAAGTCGGGTAACTGATCAACTTTTCCACTATCGGTTTCCCTAGAGAAGGAAGTTTTCCCACAAAAAAGTTGTGATTAAGTTCAGAAGCGTTTTTTAGCAAACCAAAAACTATTCCTCTATTCGTTCTTTTTTTCAATTTTTTGGGCGCTGTCGTTTTTAAGGAAATAAAGTCCAATAACACTTCTGGAACAAAGATTACACCAGTCAATGAGCTTTTTTTTTTTAATTGCCATCTACTGCTTTTTTTCGATGGGTTCAGTTTTTTATGTGAACTGGACTTTATATGGATGTAGCTTTAATTCTATGTTCCAATTATGTCCTAGCCACACTCAGCTCTTCAGCTACACTTTGACTTATAGTAGCGATATTTGAGATGAAGCGAGCAAGCTGATGATGCACAGGCCTTACCGTATCCGTAGCAGAAAAGTGTTTTCTTAAGAATCACCATTTTTTTATTAAGCGATGTGCGATCGATAGGCGATCCACGCTGTAGAAGCAAAAGATGTTTAGTTTGACAGTTCAATTTGCAAGATATTTATTTGAAACCACAGAATGCATCATCTATAGGTTTTGCTTAGATTCACATAAATTCAAAAGTACAAATTTTTAACTGCGCTATTGCAACAATTTCATGTATATTCATATCAAATTACAACAACTTTAATATAATTATCAATAAATATTTTTCTTTTTCTCTTTTTTCGCTCTTTCATTACAGGCGCCATATTCGAGCAGGGCACAGATGAGGTGCAATCAGCGTTTAAATACGCAATGCTCAATCACAATCTCAACGTATCGTCACGCCGTTTCGAACTGCAAGCATACGTGGATGTCATCAATACAGCGGATGCATTTAAATTGTCACGCTTAAGTACGTCGAACGAAGAAAATACCCATACGCATACGCGCACACATACACACTCACATACAAAAGTCATACATCAATACACAATAAAAAAAAATATACACTTGAGTGCCGCACGTGACTGCAGCAGTGCATGCAGCATGGCCTTGTGTGGCAAGTGCGGCTGTGGCAAGCGAAACGATGTGTGTCATTTGCTAGTTGATTGCCACAAGCTCGCTGCTACTGTCAGTGGTGCCGTTGGGTGCTGCTGATGAAGTTGCTGTCACAGTAGCGTTCATTAATTATGCACATTTCATGTTATAAAGAGCGAAAAAAAATTACATACATTCATATGCATAATCAACAAATTTGCAGACACTAACACTAACAAGAACTTATTTACATGTATACATATATGTGTGTGCGTGTGTACCTTGCTATATATTGATGATTTTTAATTATTTGCCATTTTTCTTCTATCTTCCCATATTCTACATACTGCACATTGCACAACTGCGACAACAATATGCATCAAATTTATTTGCATACATATGTACGCGCCTCACAGTATGCAATCAATTTTCCCGTGGCGTTTATTCCATGTTGGGCGCTGTATCACCGGATTCATTTGATACATTGCATTCGTACAGCAATACATTTCAAATGCCATTCGTGACACCATGGTTTCCAGAGAAAGTAAGCCGGAACTACCGCTATAATATATATTTGGAATGAATAGCGCAGAATTTTAAAAATAAAATAGAAAGAAACAGAAAAAAAGAATACTCAAAAAAAAAAAGAAAAAATTTATTTGAAAAGCATAAAGCGTGACAGCAGTGAGCAAAACTAACTTTTTTAACACTTACACACACACACACACATACACTCGTGCATATGCAGATAAATAATAAACACAGAATTTTCATGCAAATATCGATAGTCAAGCACCGCTGCCAGCTGCTAGCTGCCGTTGTGCCATTTTTCCAACGCACTTGACTTGCTGCCATGATTTTTATTTCATTTTTTATATTTTCTGCAATTTTTTTTTTTAATTTGAAATCTGTATCGAGCTTCTGCATTAGTTCTATTTTTATATGCGAATGTTTTTTTGTGTGGCATATTGTAGCTCCGAATATGTGTTAAGTGCGCAGTTGTTCGAGTGTTTGAGTGACATAAAAAATAGAAACAAATACGAATAAATGTATATATTTTTATATGTGTGTGTTATATGTTTGTGTATGCAATGCTGGGAAACCCAAATTTTCCACTCATTGTATTGAAATAACAAGTGCCACTCGAACAATAGCATTTAAGTTCTGTGTGGATTTAAATCCGTATCTCACACGTTTTAGCTCGGCAAAAATATTTATTTTCTCTGTTTTCATGTATTTTTAAAATCAGTTTTTCTGCTTCTCAAAAGGCATGCAAGCATTTACCAGAAAATTGTTATGGCACTAGAATTTATTTAACTCAACTATGTGTGTGTGTGTGTTAAAAAAAAGAATATTTCTGTTCAAAGAGTTTTATTTAATTTATTTAAAAAATAAAATATTTTCAAATTTAAGCTATTGTCAGTAACAGAAAAAAATATTAACTTTTGTTTTCCATTTAAACTAAATTAAAACAATTTTTTGCTTAAACTAAACATCAACTTCATTCCGCCTTATTAAAAGAACGAAAAAATGGTTAAGCTTAATCTCGGTAAATAACTGGAGTGTCAAAATTTAAATTTAATTGGTTTTCGGAAATTTAAAAAATACTTTAAAACTTTCCCCAAAACTAGCTGAAAACATTGTAAATTAAAAATAATATATAAAGTGAATTTATTTATAATCAAAAAAGCAATACAGCTAACTAGCTCCTTTATTAATATAACATAACCTATATATTTGTAACCTCCGGCCGAGCACTACTAAACCAGCTCTCTGTGCAATAAGGATTGGCCTTTTGACTTTTGCTGGCCGCGATCTACTACGTTAAAGTCCTATCGAGTTTTAAAGGGCAAGGGATCAAACGAAAAGCTCATAAGGACATCACCGGAATTTTTCTCCTCATTTCAGTACGGAGATCCATAATGGCATGCAACCAGAAATTTCTCCGAGCTCGGGAATATTCACTAGTGCTTCATGGGAGACATCCTGTGCTCTTCAAAAAATTTCATTTTGGAATATGAAGCATATACAAATCAAGTCCAGCTCTTCCCTTTAAAGTAGAAAAATGTTTGAACTTAACTTGTCTGTTCAACGAGAAATGAACTTCTTCACTGAACACAATTTTTTCGATAAAAACGCGGATCTAATGCAACTTCGTCAGCAGCTATAATTTATCAAAAGCTAACCAATTCGGTAGGTCCTGCTGCTTCAATTATTACATCAGCCGTATTCAAAGGATTTCGCACAAAAATATTTTTTCAAAATTTTCCTCGTAGTATAGTAAAAGAGGCTCAGCCGCTATGAATGCCCTTGAAGCGATAATTCATGGTCATCACAGCTGCCTTCTCCATTCGAGCTCTGCGTATTATGGATGGTGAAAAACTACTACATCTTCCACCATCAGTTTAAGTAGTTCAAGCGGTGGGATACCACTCCACCTTTTGAAAGGTCAGGATGCGGTGCTATTTCCTTCTTTACATCAAAGTCTGTAGATATTTAGAGGCGACGAGTATGTACTTCACCTCTACACAGACGGAAATCTACAAAAATCGGATCTCGCTGTAAAATTCGCTTACAACATATAATGTTTCGTGTCTTAAATTCTTTGCTATGAATTTTTACTTCTCGGTAGCAAAAAAAAAAATACGGATTGTTCTTCCCCGCAAGCTCGACATATTTTACGCTGACTTTAATGCCAAATTTTCCGCTATTGTTTTCTGTTTTATTGCAATGATTTATATTACGCTCATAAATTTCATTTAATACAATAATATTTTTATTAAATGTTAATCATACGCCTCGGTGGTAATAAAACAGATTTCAACTGAGACAATAAAGTTGACCCCATTTGTTGAAGTGCCAGACAGTTTGCTTTGAATAACAGCAGCACACAAATACAACACCGACAACAACAATATCAAAAGAAAACAGAAACCAAGCATAAAATGCGCTAAAAGCTATGAGAGAATAAATAAAAGCCTAAGGCAACACAACTAAGCAGTTGCCGAAAATTTATGAAATTCTTAATAAAGTTATAAATGTCCAGAAATGTAAGCAACGAACAAATCATAATAATTTCAGATTTTCAGATTTTATTATATTTCATTTTGGGTTATTTCATTTAACGCAAGCTGAATTATAGCGAAAAGTCTACACGAAGAATATTTGGTCCAACGAAACGTGGGGTTGTTTAAAGAGCATTAAATAAGCTGACTGAAAGCTTCAAATGCGTGGTGCTAGTTATTAAAGACTGGTGGGAAAACATCTTTGCTTACATTAGAGTGAGACAAGTTGCCTTAAGAGAATCAAGACTGCTTAGAAATAAACACATACAAGCATTGGCTATGATTTTTTACATCAATAAAATCTCTGTTAAGTGGGGTGAGAATTTATTACGGCAGCTTTATTCAAGTACACTATAAATTTATTTTTATGTTTATAATGTTTAGAACTTGCTTGTACCTGGCTTTAAAGCTACCTCATTATTCACACCAACAATGCTTGACGTTGGCTAGTACTGCCTTTGTACCAGTCTACGCCTCTTCTATTCCAATCAACATAAATCATTGGACATAAAGCAAAAAAAAAAGTAATAATAAAGCAACAATGGCAAAAATTAAATATAAATGTAAACATAAATGTAAGTTTATATACCTAAATATGTATCTAAGAAATGTGTACAAAAGTTCCACAAAAAATACTGTCTGCGTGTAGGTTCACGCACATTATCCACATTTCTCTACAGTGGGCTTCAAACTATTTTTCGCCGGCTAAAAGACAAAGAATTTTAGTAGACGAATTTAGCCAAAGCAATGGATGAAAATTAAAATTTCTGCATTAACACTTTGCCAGTAAACTGCTTTTCGAGTGACATGACCTCAGACATCTGTTGGCCCAAAATCGATTTCGTTATTTTTATACGGTCCTTTGTGTGTGTATTCTGCCAAGTTGGAGATATTGAATAAGAAAAAAAAATTAAGTATCAATTTATCTGGAAAAATGGCTTTTAGTGTCTCGAAATAGCAAAAGTTCCAATCTTTTCAACACTTTACAGTGAATAATATTTTAAAAGCAGAAAACTATTAAAAAGTTCATTATATAAATACTGGGCATCTGTAAAATAGAAAAGTTTGGTAAGTTTGTAGTTGTAGAGTGCCAAAAGACACAAACAAGAATTAATAAATGTATTAAGTGAGGCTTTTATGTGATGCAGATTTGAGGCTGCAAAACTCATTATAAAACTCTTGTGAGCTGGATACATCTAAAAGAGCCGAGTGTTTTTTCGTGAAAGACGCAATCAAAAGCAAATGTTACTCATGAATTAAATTGGATTGGAAAGATAAATGCTGGATTGTCCCGCCTTTACTTCCACACTTCAAATACGATGCCCTCAGAATAGTAGCGTAAAACAAGTTTTATACCTTTCATGTGCAGAAATGATATATATTTTAACACTGGCTCGAAGTTTGAGAGTACCAGATGGAAAAAGGATAGACTCATTAAAATTTCTGCTGATATCAGCAAAATATTCGTTTGTCCATTTGTTTGTACGAAAACTTGTTTCTCAGTTTTTGAAATATTTCAATCGAATTTGGTACACGACGATTTTTTATAAAAACCGGGTAGATCGGAACACTATATTTTTCAAGTATGAGATTTTGGGTTACAAATCCTTCAAAAACACAACTGAAAACATGAAATTTGGTACTCTCTTCACATATAATAAATAATTTGTCATTATTGAAAGTTAACGAACGATTTGATCAGATTTGAGGTTTTGGGTCAAAGCTCCATCGAAAGAGCAACCAGGTGCGAGAAAACTGGTATTTTATACACTTATGCATATATAAATTTCATCTTAAATTATTTGCCATAACATTGATAAAAAAGAAATTTTATTACGCAGTGAAAATGAGAAAGGGGAGCTGTGCTCGACGCTGCCGGAGTCATTATGCCTATGGTCAGTACATATGAAAATTTGCTACCGTTTTGGGTCATATGAAATCTTAAATGAATTCATCAAGCTTGCAATATTGGCACAATAAACCACCTCCTACTCTTGAGCAAAATGAAAAGTGAGCTTAGGATGTGAGTGAGAGTTTCTCATGATACGAATGCACTATTGGTAAAAATATTTTGCTGCTTTAAAGATTAACCCAGGCTATTTTGATTAAATCTCTTACTAAATTATTTAAATCATCATCATGTAGTCTTCAAATTGAAAACTCCGCTTGTCATTAAGTTCAGGTATCGCACCTCTTCACCACAACTTAGTATCTCTTTGGATACTTCTATTTCGGCCCCATAACGTATGCAACGAATAACTGATTGCTGTTTGGGCCATGAAATTGACTGTTTTTGCTTTAAATTATAAAATATGACACAACACACAACAAAAGTCTCAGGCGTCGTCATGATTCCGTAGCTCAAGCGGAAAGCTTTTCTCATGCCATTAAAGCATTTTTGAAAGTACGAAATAAATCGTTTGCAGCCTTAAAGGGTACGGAAACTTCAGGTATGGCCTTTATCATATTATTTATCAGGCCTTCGAAATAAAATTTCTTTGTTACAAATTTTTAACCAATGTAAATCCTTATTATCATAATAATGGATTGACATCCAGCATAGTTTTCTTCTTTTTAGATGTTATAAGATAATGATATCAGCTGGCTTGCCTTACGCAAATAAAAATTAAAAAAAAAAAAAATTAATTTGTTTAGCTATGCAACAAGTGCTCAAATCATTAATTTTCATAAATATTTTAAGGTTGTCCAACTACATTTTGCGATCTTAGTATCGATTGTTAAGGTTGCACGTTCTTTAAATCGCATACTCGAGTGGTACCCATTAGCTGAATTTAAGAGACTTATGAATGGTTTTGCAGAGTTTTAATTTGTTTTTAGACTAAGACGAGAAAGCGGCATAACAGTTGTTTTGAAAGCTGCGGAGACATAAGCTGAGGTTACATAGTACCTCGGCGATTGCCCGGTTCTATGAGCATTTCTTCAATATTTTTTCTCTTGGATAATTTCTACTTCTTTCGTAAGCAAGTGTAAATAATCGGAAAAGAAATTTCATAAAGATTTTTTACTGTCGAATCTGATCATTTCATGAAATTTTTTTTATAATTTTTTTTTATTATTGTACTTATAAAAATTCTTTAGGTTATAGTCATATTGTGGTATCAAAAATCAAGGATTAGTAAGTATACGTGGAACCTCATCTTTTTGAACTTTTAATATTTTGAAACGCTTGAATATGATTTATTGCTGGAAACTTACTCAGTTCTTCCCATATAATGCACATATTTAATGAAACATAGGTTCTTTTTGGGATTTCAAGTGGACATCAAAATCTGATCCTACATAGAACTATAAGATATTTATAACTAATCTGAATTGATTTCGCTCACTAAACAAACACATAACAAAAATTAATAGTACAGACCGTAATCACAATTATGAAATGACATTTGGTTACAATTCACGGATACTTTTATATTTATTTTGCAAACCAAACATAATAACTTACACACTGTGCCTCATCTTTAGGTCCTGTACACTCACTGCTGTCACCAGTTTTATGCGTCACATATATCTTCCTATTCTTTTTTGCACGCTCGACACTCGCCGCTGTCACGTCTCAAGTTCACACCACAATTTATTTATTTTTATTTACAATTTGTGCTGCCACGCACAATATCACTGTGCCTTCAATTCGCTGTGTACGCTTTGACGCGCCTATTAGGTGCTTACGCCCTCATCCGGTTTCCTTGACTATGCCATAAGTATGCGTCCGGATTATCATCAGGCGATTATCGATACAATACAGTTTTATGGATGGCGTAAAATAATTTATCTCTACGATTCGCATGATGGTAAGTAGGAAATATTTAAATACATAAATATTGTCACACTGTATGCAACGCAAAATAAACTGTAATATATTATAAATATATATTTATATGCGATTATTATATATAACATGTATATAAAAAATTTCTTGTTTTTGCTCAAAACGTAATAAATTTTCACACGCAGTTAACCCACTGACAGTGTTCACTCAATTTGTTTTTACGAAACGCTTGTGCGCCGAATATTTATGATTGATTGTAATTTGTCAAGTCTGCTACTGCAGCCGGCAAATGGAAATTCACTTCTGCATAGCAAAATGTATGTATTCATGTAAATAAAACTTTATTGCTGAGTAAACATTAAGCCATCAAACCATACTTCAGCCATTGAGGCTGAAGTTTAAATAATAAATAACAAATATATATACAACTTGTGTACATATTTACAATAGTTAAGTAAAAAGCTTTTATTGTGTGATTGCAAATGTCTGTGCTGGAGAATGAATTGTTTAGATTTTATTACTTTCGGCTGAATAATGCAAATCTGTTGATTTTCTTTCATTTCCGTTGAAGAGAAAATTTGTTACTCATACGCCATGGCACTGTAAGGCATTCTACACATATTTCTCGCAAGTTTTGAGATTTTTGTGAAAAGAAACACTACACTACGAAGTGTAAGCAATCAACATCTCTTATATTCTCATAGCTCTGAGGTAAAGATTTTTTGAATAAATTTTTTTTTAGCAAATACTTCATTTTACTTTTCGAGAATGTTCAAATTCTTATATCGTATTCTCATGAAACTTACAAACTTTTCTAATGGCGACAAATCGAACACTCTTATGAACGGATGGTAATTACGAGACAGTTGTAGAGTTTGGTTAATGTTCGAGAGAATACTTTACCTTCCTGTTGCTCTCAGTACAAAGTAGCATTTGATGGCAAAAGTGATTCTTCGCTAAATTTTTATGCTCGCATTTCCATTTATATTAGTGACGGATTCAAGATGGACGAAACCATCAATGGCCTTAAAGTTGTGACTATAAAAAATTAAGTGAGGCTAAACCTGTCTGGAGAAAAAAACGAAGGCAGCTATCATTGGTATAAAACGTGTATCTTTGTAAAACAAAATTGCACCTTGTTAACTACACAACTTGTTTTTTCACTAGCACTAAGCTAGAAAGTCATCCTCCGCCTTGAAAATCAAAAGTTTCAGAAAGATTCGGTATGATCACCTCGTTGACGGTGGGCTTAAATTTTTCACACAATAAAGTTGATAAAACCTTATATGCGACATTGAAGAGGATACAGTATGGTATATTTTTTTATGGATTGAGCAGAGTCAGTCATTCTCAGTAGACTAAATTTTTGCTAGAAACTGATACATGAGCTTTGTTGCCTCATCACGAACATATAATATTTAGATAGTGGAGCGTCACTCCATTATCACCATTGTCTACCTGACATAAGCTAGACAGATATCACCCAATCAGCTGAACAGGTCTTAGCTTCTGTAAGTCCTAAAAGTTCTTTAAATCACCACATGTTTTCAATGAATTTTTTACCATTAGCCCTGTCAGCCAACTGTCAGGGCCTTAGTAATTCTTTTACCTCTGTCAAGTTAAAGTTTAATCCGCAGTCCAGCACCTTTGTTGCCAAAGGAAATCAATTAGAAATTTTTTTTTTATTTCCAAGTTTTCCTCGGGTCCTTATTCCGCCTTGCAGATGATTTTATATATATTTTTTTTAATTACAATTAAAACAGATTGAGTTTCATCTAATAAAGTATTGAGGAGCTAAATTAACAATTTATGAGCGGAAATTGTTAAATGGGATAACATCATTTTTATATTTATAAAACAAATACTTATGTATTTCAAAAATTTACGAAAATAAATAAATGTTTGCAAAGAAGAAATCCGAATGAGAAAACAAATAAATAATAAAATAAAATACTGACTTCTTACCTTCTTTTTTGCAATCAAGCAAATTTGTGTTGCTAACACCCACACAAGTGATTTATGCTTTTAATTACGTCAGAATATGCATTCAATTGGGAGATAAGCTTTTGAGTGTTATCGTTGTATAAAAACTCAGCATTTTTTGAGCTTAAGAAGATTAACTAGTTGGCCTATTCTTTAAATATTTATCGATTAATCTCTACAAACTTTACGTATTTGAATATAAATAAAAGTAAATGAATATATATTATATTAAGTTATTTTCTTCACAGGTTTAAGTTGCATATATATATGCTACTGTACACACATACATATATGCATGTATTTAATCGACTGGTCAGTAGCATATAAAGAAGTCGAAAAATCATTATGGCAACAAATAATTCAAAGCCATTCATCAAAAATGTTTAATATTTGAGAAAGTTTACAAGGTTTAGCTGAAGAATTTCTGCGCACAATGTTTCTCAAGGTTGATTATTTTAAATAAATAGTTCGTAATTTTTATTAAGAAAATAAATAAATATTTAATGTATAAACAAAAATTCACTTTGTCATACATGCCCAGCAGGTATTTGCGTAAATGAAGGCAAGAAAGAGCAAAGTAAACCGAAGCCTGTACACGCGCACACAGTAAAATGCCAGTATACATACAAAAGTGTGTATGTGTAAATATAAATTTACATGCATAAGCTTATAAATACAAATTTATTTAGCTGCAGATACACACACATATATGTATATATATATATATATTATTTAGGTATTTCTACGCTTATCTATGTAATATGCATATGTAAGTATATGGTTTATATGTATGTAAATATTAAAAATGTGGATTCGTTAGGCAAAAATGTTTTGGGTTCAACCAAAATTGCCTTTAGGCTGGTCGTTGGCCCGATAATGGTGGCAAAAGCAATCAATGAAATTGCTGTTTGTTGGAATAACACATAAGTCAATAAATAAATATGCACACTATACACATACTCTTACAACTGCATATGTGAATATAAAATATAACATGATCATCCTACTGAATCTTTGAAATTTGTTGGTTTGCCTGGAATATTATAGAATATGTATATACGAGTGTGTGTACAACTCAAACAAGAGCAAGACAAGTTTTTTTGGTTATAACTTGTTGTTGTAGAAAATATTTGTTTGCATATTGTACGTAGGAAAAATTATTTATAGTGAAACTAGTATTTCGTGGTCAAAAATTTAAAGTTTCATACATGTGCTGGTTTGAAGTTTTTCCATTTGAATAGAAAATCCTCCCAAGTAAACTTGCTTCTGGGTTTTCTGATAAGAAAAAAATAATAATAATACAATGTGAGGATTTATTTTTAACCCGAAAACCCATCATCTCACTCAGTTTGAAAGCAAGTAATTCTATTGTAAAATTTTTTGTGTACTGTCATTATCAAGGCCAGCATTCGGGTCCTGATTTAATCAATATCTTAAATTATAGAATATTAATTATTCTAATTGCATTTGCCTCTCGGCGGAGAATGTCGAAGGGTGTATTTCTGTAATTCCTCATAAAAATCCATCTTTTGTTCGGCTGAGCATAAATTGTAGGTCTTCCATTTATAGTACAATAAAAACATCAAGACGGATACCAAAGATTGGAGGAAAGCGACAACTATATATACAAATATATATAAACTCCTCGGAAAAATATCCCAGCTGCTAGGGGCCGGCAATATGCATTTATTGCACATGACTCTGCAACAAAGAGAGTAGAAATAACTAGAGTTTATGCGTTACACAGAATAAATATTTCTACTGTTAATGCTGATTGTCCGAAATTAAGTAAAAAAAAATATTAAAAAAATTATCTAAGCCAATCTGAATCTACTGCATAAGCGTATAAAATGAAAAAGTTCATTTTGGAGAACCATCGCTGCTATTCCTACCACTTCCGTGACCTGAGGAAGATCGAGTGCACAGTAGTGCGGTTGGTATCATGGCCTATGCCGCCATTGCATATAATACATACATAATTTGGCACCACAGCACATGTGCCTTTCTTCAAAATTCGCTTAACCATCAACGAATTATCCATCAAAAGTCACACAAACTTTTGTAGACCCGATTTTATCTTTTACCTAAAAGTTGTCCTCATTTCTTTCGACCAAAATTTCTAGCTAGTGAAAAAGTCATTTATATAACGAAAAACTGAATCTAGAATATTTTTGGAGCTCTGCACAGGAACGTGCTGTTCTGTTATGAGAGTTCAAACTTCGCATCGATAATTTAGTCGCGGTTCTTGCTCGACTTGCTTCTGGTTAATGAGTTTGGTAAGCAATACTCAGCTGAAGCGTTTGAAATGCTATTAAAAAGTAGGTAAGAATCCTACATATTTTATTTCTTTTCTACGATATTTTCTGTTCTTTGAGTAAGGAAAAAATTATTAAAATATTTGTTTTCCTGTTATGATCGTGTTGATATATATATTGTTGGGCAAAATGGGGCATGCCATCAAATTTTTAATTAAAGGCCGCCATCAAATTTTTTAAGGAAAGGAAAGAGTTAAACTCTTTTATATCTATTATATAACTAATAGAATATAAAAAGCAAACAACATTTTTATTATTAAAATAATATTTTTGTGACTTCCTAATAAATATTAAAACTGTAAAACGCTACATCAATTATTTTTTTCCTGATACATATATTTCTGGTGACCGAAAGAAGCTCAAAATTTGGGTGCCACATGAATTATATAAAAATTCATTGACCGAATTACTATTTATCAGTTAGATGCATCTTCATGAGTAATGAAAAATTGACTTTACGCCAAAAAAGGTGATGCGGAGTGTATGTTGGGACTGGAGATGGTTCTTTATCAGATCTATAGCAACTATCAGTTCTGAGCCTTATTGCAAATAATTAACCTAACATGGATTAGAAAAACTTTTTATTGATCACTTGAGTATCATCGTGAAAACTCAAAACTATATATTTATTTGAAACGGAGCTTGATTAGTAAGTTTTTTACACCCACCACCATAAGACCTTGCACCACCTGTCTAGTTTTGGTTTTGGTATCTGCGAAACTCT